ATAGGGCTACCTATATGGTTGATGCAGGAATCGGCCTGAATCAGCCACATGCTACCTATGTAAACTCAAACCGAAGCCATCATGGTTCGCGTCAAGCTCTCTATGACCAGAATGAGCTCCCTCCTAGGCGAAGAATCCAACCGTTGTATCGGGATTACGAAGGATTCGAGGATGAGTATGGGTATCAATCCAACCGCCCGCTCTCTCCCTCAGCTCTCTTGAATATTATGAGACGCTGGAATATCAAATTCGGTGGATACCGTCATGAAGATGTCGAAGACTTCATCAGCCGAATCGATGAAGGCGTGAATTTTATTTCCGCGCCCGAGGACCTCGTATTAAAGGCGATCCCATTTTTTCTTGAGGGACCCGCTCTGGTATGGTATCGAGGACTCGGTGATGTAGGGACTAGCTGGCAGGAAATGCAAGAAAAGCTTCGAACCTACTTCGCGGACGCCGAATACCAAATTGCGCTCCGTAATGAAATTACTGCCCGTACTATGGGAGAGTACGAACGAGTTAGGGACTACTTTGCGTGCATGAAAGGGCTGTTCCAGAGGACCAGACCCCCATGGCCCGAGAGCGAACGAGTCCGCTATGCTCACTGGAACTTATTGTTCAGATACAAGGCTCAAATTCCCGAACTCCCCGCGACAGTAGAACCACTAGAGCGCAAAGTTACAATGTACGAAAAGATTCTGGAGAGCGAAGGTTAGCGTAGACCACCTCCACGGCCAGAGGAATCACTCTGTCCTAGTTTTGCGTACCGTCCCGCTCAAGCTACCTCCAAGCTATCCACGCGCCGTGGATGGAACCCCAATAAAACATTTAAAACCTATGCGTTGGGTGAAGTATCCAGTGATGAAGCTCCCTACCCCGAACAAGATGACGTTGGTTTTGAGGAGGATGAAATCCTGGATATCGCCATGGAACCGCGACGTAAAACATTCGGGCGTAATCTCCAGCTATCTTCTCATCAAGTCCCTTCCAGGACTTTCACTCGAAAGCCGCTACCTTATCCGCCGATATCTCCCCAACCAACAGCTTCTCAACCGTTACCGTCGCATCAGCTACCTTCTCAGTCGTGGCCCTATCGACAGTTACCTTTGCAACAGTTACCTTCTCAGCCATTGTCCTACCAGCAGCTACCTAATCAGGCTAGACAGCTGGGACATGCTCCCTCAGATGGTATCACCCCACCTACTTCTCAAGTCCCCCAACCCGCGCAGATCTGCCAAGCGGAAGAAGTTGAAGAAACTTCAGCGAATGACCTCGCAGACCCACTATCCGGACTCCTGATGGGAGAAATATTTTGTTGGAATTGTGGTAAGGTTGGGCACAGACATCGAGATTGTACTGGCCCTCGTCGATATTTCTGCTACAAATGTGGCAAGTCGGGGGTTTCCTCGACTAACTGCACACATTGTGCATCTGCTACCTCTCAGAATCAAGTGGGGAACTCGGGAAACGCTCACTGAGACGTCATTCGCCGGTACAGATGTCTCTTCCGGTAAAACCCCCGGCACCAGTCAAGTTACCTCATCAAGCTCCCTCATGTTGCGGATTATGCGCCGTCGAAAGTCGACTACCTTTGAGTGAATGCTACCTGGAACAAACACTACCTAAACCAGTTGAACTCACTCAGACGGGGACGAATCCCAAAGATTTGACTACCCCAGAAGAGCTACCTAACGAAGACATTCTCGTTAACGCTACCTCAGACAATAAGCCGCTATCTTTCCGTATTGAGATCGAAATCTGTGGAAAAACAATCCATGCTTTAGTAGATTCCGGTGCTTCAAGGACCTTCGCTGGCCCAGCCGGCATCAAGCTATTTAATCAGGCTAAGCTACCTTCGTTACCTGTACCTCCAAAACGCATTATCTGCGCCGCGAGTCAAGTGGAACATGTAGATTCCATAACAAAATTCGATGGAAAACTCGGGGGACGCACGATCACTGCCTCAGCGTACCTCTTTCCAAAGCTAGCGGAAGACTTCATATTAGGCCTAGATTTCCTGCTCGCCGCGCGAATTGTTATTGATTTTTTCGATCAAGCCTGGTTCTATCGGGATAAAC